TTTTTTTTTTTAATTTTATTGGTACATTTTGGGTATACAGTATAATGAAATTCATCATTGGAAATTTGTGCCTTCATTTTACCTGATTTCTGATTGGTCAGAGAGAGCCATTTGGAAGTCTTAAGTAAAAGCATTACAGTCAGAAGAAACAGTTGCAAAGTCATGAGAAAAGAAGTAACAATACATTGGAGAAGGAAGGCAAGGCCAAGGCCGGCTGGGAGCAGTGAGTGAGGGCAGTGGTTGAGATGAGACTAGAGTCTGGTCCCACAGGGCCTAGCCACTGTTAAGGGATTTATCCTGTACTCTAATTGCAGTCATAAGCCATTCAGTTTACAAACGGAGCATCGAATTTCTTCTGTGAAAATGTGTCAGTTAGCATGAGGGAAATAATAGGTTTAATCCCTAGGACCTAAATAAATAAATGATTTCAATGTTTCATACTTCTCCTATGCAGAGCTCAAAGAGACTTAAATCTTTTATTGTTACCACTGCGTCCTTTGAAAGGCTTATGTGTAAATAGTCTGATTTTCTTCATATTAGTAAGGCTTTAGGCTGTTGGGAATATGGAAATACAGAAATCTTGATGCTTAGCCATCACAGTTTTAAAAATTGAGATATAATTCACTTGAGAAAAAATTCAGTCTTTTAAAATGTACAGTGTGGGCCTGGGGATTTAGCTCAGTGGTTCCAGTGCCTGCCTCGAAAGCACAAGGTCCTGAGTTTGATCCCCGGTACCCAAAAAAAAAAGAAAATCTTTTGGGCCGGGGATTTAGCCCAGTGGTTCCAGCGCCTGCCTTGCAAGCGCAAGGACCCGAGTTCGATCCTGGTACCAAAAAAATAAAATAAAATGTACAGTTTGCAGTTTTTAATATGTTCACAAAGTTGTTTTATCTAGTTTTAGAACATTTCGTCATTCCAAAAGGAAGCCCTACACTTATTAGAGCCTTTCCCCATTTTGTCATTCCACCAGTTCCCTGGAAGCCACTAATCTACTTTCTCACTTTTGATTTGTATGTTCTTGACATTTCAGATAATTTTTTGTTCTTTTTTTGAGACAAGGTCTTGTTATGTAGGTCAGGCTGGCCTTGACCTCACAGCAATCCCCATGCCTCAGCCTCCAAAGTCCTGGTATTACAGGGGTATGCCACCATGCCAGGTAATTTCAAATAAATTGAATCATATAATATGTAGGTTTTTGTGATTGGCTTCTTCCACTTAGCATATGTAATGTTTTCAAGCTTCTTTTATGCTGTGACCCATATTAATACTTCATACCATTTTGTGTATCCATTTGTCAATTAATGCATAGGTTCTTTCTCTTTAATCACCACAACTTGTTTTCTTCCCCCTTTTATTTATTTTTAAAAATGAATTTTATTGGTACAATTTAAATACACATAATGATCACATTCATCATAGGGAATTTGTTTTGATTTTTTTTATACCAGGGATTGAACTTGGGACCTTGCATTTTCGAGGCTGGCGCCGGAACCATTGAGCTAAATCCCTGACCCCATCATAGGGAATTTGTACCTATACATGGTATATCTTGATTCCTATTTTTCTCCCTATCCCCCCTCCCCTCCTTATTTACAAAGCTTTGTTTCCATTTTATCCTTCTTTTCTCATTTTTTTCTTCTCCCTTACTTTCCCCCTCCCCTCTTTTCTAGTTCCTTTTTCTTTTAAATACCCTATAGGGGTGTGTGTGTGCGTGCGTGCATGTGCGTGTGTGTGTGTGTGTGTGTGTGTGTTTTGTTTGTCTTGGTATTTGGTGTTTAGTTTGATTATCTTATGTATAGTATAAGTGCTATACATACACTGTCCAGTGTAGCCTTCTTCCTGTTGGGTTTAATTACATCCTTTTGTTTCTCAATTGAGCATTAATTTTTTTTTTTTTTTTTTTGGTACCTGGGATCGAACTCAAGACCTTGCACTTGCCAGGCAGGCACAGTGCCACTGAGCTAAATCCCTGGCCCTGTTTCTCAGTTGATTTGATAAAGAGTAGTATAAGGAAACTGAAATGCTTGTCCTCCAGTTATCTTGGTCTTTGTTTTAGAGTCTGGAAAAAAATACTTGGATAATAAATAGAATTGCTTCTCAGCTAAAGTTGTGTTTCCATTTTCACCCCTTTCAGAGTATTCTTCTTAGTGATGAGTCTAGTGAGGCAGATTCTCAGAGTGAAGACAATGATGAAGAAGGAGAAGAACTCAATCTCAGCAGAGAAGAACTTCATAACATGCTTCGACTACACAAATATAAGAAGCTTCATCAAAATAAGTATAATAAAGACAAGGAGGTAAGACTCAAGAGAAAACTCAGACTTTCATGCTGGGTATTCCCCCTCTTTCTGGTTTATAGTCATTAGGTGGTGGTAGTTGGTAACAGCTTTATTTGTTTTGAGACAGTGTCTCACCATGTAGTTCATGGCTGACCTTGAACTCACTGTGTAGGTACTCCATGCTGACCTCGAACTTGTACAGTACTTGTGATCATCGTACTGCCTCAGTCTCCAGAGTGCTTGAATTACAGGCATGTGTGTGCCAGGCTACCTTGCCCAACTCTTTAACAGCTTTATTGAGATATAGTTTACATAACAAAAATTCTGTCTGTTATATGCAATTCATTTTTCTTTTTTCTGATAGGAAGGATTGAATTCAGGACCTTGTGCTTGCCAGGCAGGCACAGCACCATTAAGCTACATCCCCAGCCTAATTCAGTTGATTTTAGTATTTTCACAGTCTTGTTATTGTTATCCTTGTCTTAATTCTAGAACATTTTCATCACTTTGGAAAGAAACTTCCTATTCCTAAGCTGTTGGCCCTCATTCTCTTCTTCCCCCTAGTGCTAGGCAACCACCTTCTTTCTCTATAAACTTGCTCATTCTTGACATTTTGTACAAATGGAATCATGCAACATGTGATCCTTTGTGTCTAGTTTCTCTTGCTTAGTGTAATGTTAGCAAGGTTCATCAATGTTGTAGCGTTATTTGTGTTTCATTCCTTTTTATTGCCAAATATTTCATTATATTTATACCATATTTTATCTTTGGTTGATGAACTGATTGTGTTATTTCTACTTTTTGGCAGTTACTACCGCTATGAAGATTTGTGTCCAAGTTTTTGTATGGATATATGTTTTTCTTTCTCTTGGTTATATACTAGGTCATGTAGAATTTCATGCTTAACCTTTTTAGGACCTGTCAAAATGTAAATGTTAGTGAGCGCTTATTAATTCATTTGCTCTTTGGAAGTACTATCTTAGAAAACCTCCTTTGCTTTATATCCTAATGTTAGAATGATGATAGCTTTGGTTTTGTTTTTGCAGTACTGGAATTGAACCCAGGCCTCATGCATGCTAGACAGGCAGTCTACCCCTGAGCTACATCCCCAACCCTACAGTGGTGGTATTTTTAAGTGACAACTAATTGAAAACTGTTACCAAAATTTTCTGATTTTTTTTGTGAGAAATGTAGCTCCTTGTATATGGCAAACTATCGCATAAAGATCTAACGGTTCTCCAGAAGTTTCTGAAGGTCCAAACTTAGTTCAGAGAGGTTTGAATAATATGCTGAAACATATAAACTTACAGAAGTGAGAAACAGTAGAATATCTGACAATTTTGGTAGTTTCTATTTTTGTTTTGTTTGTTTAGGTTTGGCTTTTTTTTTTTTTCTTCTAGATAGGGTCTTGCTATGTAGTGCGGCCTGGTCTTGAACTCACTATGGAGTCCAGGCCTTGAACTCATGGCAGTCCTTCTGCCTTGGCTTCCTGAGTGCAGGGATTATAGGCGTGTGCTACCTTGTTTGGGGGGGGGGGCTTCCAGGGATCAAACTTGGGTCCTTGTGCTTGCGCACCAGGTGGTGAAACCACTGAGCTAAATCCCTGGCCCATGGTTTGTATTTTTATTTATTTATTTATTTATTTATTTATTTATTTACTTATTTGGTTTGTATTTTTTGAAACAGGCTCTCACTATGTGGTCTAGGCTGGCATTGAACTCCCTTGTGTGTGTAGCCCAAGTTCACCTTAAACTGTGATCCTCCTGCTACAGCCTCCCAAGTGCTACTATTATGTGCCTGGCCATGTCTCTTCTTAAAGTGTGGTGCTGAGGCACTTGATGCTCCATATATTTGGTTTTTCTTTTCCTTTTTGTGATACTGGGGATTGAACCCAGGGCCTTTGCACTGAGCTCCATCTCCAACCCTTTTTAAACCTTTTTTAGTTTTGAGACATGTTCTCACCAAGTTACCTAGGCTTGGCTTGAACTTGCGATCCTCCTGCCTTAGCTTCCCAAAATGCTGGGATTATAGGCATGCGCCAGCACACCTGGCCATGTTTCCTCTTAAAGTCTAGAGCAAAGGCAGTTGATGCTTCAAATATTTGCTCATTTTAAAAATTGAAGTAAAAGATACATATAAGAAAGTTTACACGCTTCTAGTGTATAATATGATGAATGGTTTAATTTTGCCCCGAACAGTGGACCTTATAATAGTTCCCCATGTTACCTTACATCCTGGTTTCAGTCCTTGGACAATTAATTTGCCTGTGATTCAGGAACAAGTGGTCTACTTGATTTTACATATTTATATGTTAGTAATAAATGAGACGATGTGAGATTTGTGGGTCAATTTAAATGTTTGAAAGTATTTAGTACTTCCTGGATGGAAAAATTATTCATATATTAGAATTCTAGCAACACAGGTGCCATCTGTAATAATGGTAGCCTCCCTTCATGTTTTTTTTTTTTTTCGTCATATTTGATGAAAAGAGAAGTCTTGAAAGATTGGAGACCCCTACTGGGTATCTTCCCAAAAGAGTTAAAAGAATCATACCACAGCAATATATGTGTACCCATGTTTATAGCGGCACAGTTTGTAATAGCTAATACTTGGAAACAGCCCAAGTGCCCATCAACTGGAAACTGGATAAAGAAGATGTGGGTTTTTTTTTTTTTTGTAAAATAGAGTACTACTCAGCCATAAAGAACGAGAAACTAGAGACATTTATAGCTAAATGGATGCATATTGAGGCCATACTTTTCAGTGAAATAAATAGGACATACATGTAAATACCGAATAGTTTCTCTCGTGTGAGTAACTGAAAGTATAAATAAGGATTAAAATGATTAAAACGAATAATTGATTATTTGAAATAGGAAAAGGTCCAAAGGTGCAGGGGTGGTGGGAGGGGAGGAGGAAAGGGAAGAAGGGAAAGGAAAAATTATGAGAAAAGAAAAAAAAGGAAACAAAATCTATGTAAATAGGCAAGGGTGGAGGGGGTGAAGGGCGCACAGGGAATGGGGAAAAAAAATAACCAAGATACATCATGTACAGGTACAAGCACCCTATGATAAATGTAAATGTATTATATGCCTAAAATGTACCAATAAAAGAATTTTAAAAAAAGAAAGAGTGGAGAATTGGGATGACTGGTAAATGAATAGCAAGCATCAGGAACCTATAAGTCTGTGGACTAATTGGTAATAGAAATATGGTTCATTTCTTGTTTATTAATTTTCAAGGGGAGACCTTTTTGTAGGGAATTAATTTCATCTGTATGTGAGGAATAAGTAATTACTGTGGCAAAAATTCAGAAGCTGAAAAGTCTTTCCAAAGTTTTTCCAGCAACCTGTCTTATACATGACAGTTGAACCCATTTTACTTTGAAGTTAAGGAAATTCTTTTTGATGTATTAAATTCCTGTTGGTCTCTATGGGAGGAATATTTAAGAAGAGTGATTTCTTTTGGCTTTGCACTCTTTAGTAAAGATGATGTGAAGACTGTGCTGTAAAATACAAGCCTATCAATAGTCTTTGCTTTCTTCAGTTACAGCAATACCAGTACTACAGTGCAGGTCTGCTCTCAACATATGACCCCTTCTATGAGCAGCAACGGCACTTGCTTGGACCCAGAAAAAAGAAATTCAAGGAGGACAAGAAGCTTAAAGGTTAGCATTCTGAACTGATTTGCACATTTACTCATTCTTAATTTCAGAATTTTATGTGGCCTGCAGGTACTTTTGGGTTTTAGACATAGTATACAGTATAGAGATTGTAGAAATTTGCTTAATCTGAAAAACCCTATGCTCTCCTTTCTAATTAGTAGTATTATTAGTCTTATTTCACATTTGGTTTATGGTCTTTTTCAGAATCAGAAAGATTTAGGAACTACAGATTTCTAGCCAAAAGTTTAGGCCAATTAGTTTATTCCTTTTTACTTCCAAATTCTTTGCCAATGTTGACAGTGTTCTGGGATGGGAAACAGTTGGTTCTGCACAGGGAAATATGAAGAGTAACCTGCAGTGTTTGGAATAAATTATAATTGTTATCTGAAGTGATTTAAAATAGTCAACCTCCTGGTCTTCAGTAGTGTTTGCATGTTTGTCAGGAAGTGTCCTTCCTTCCTTACTGAGCTTTAAACAGCTGGAAACCAGGGAGGAAACAGGAAGGAAAAGTTTTAAACTATCTTTGTACTGCAGATTTTGTTCCCTTAAAGCTGTGAATTCTACTCAAGAAGCCTCTTTCTGGCCTTCTTCCCTGACCCTCATTCTTTTTTTTTTTTGTTTGGTACCGGGGATTGAACTCAGGGCCTTGCGCTTGGTAGGCAGGTGAGGTGCCACTGAGCTAAACCCTGGCCCTCCCCATTCTTTTTTTCCTCTGCATTTTCTCTCCTCTCTCTTCTCTCTTCTCTCTTCTTTCTCTCTGTCTTTTTGGTTTTTTGAGACAGGGTCTCAATGTGTAGTTCAGGCTGGCCTCAAACTCACTGTGTAGCCCAGGCTGACCTCCAACGCACGGCGATCTTCCTGTCTTAGCCTTCCAAGTGCTGGGATTACAGGCATGTGCCACCATGCCAGGCCCTCTGCATTTTCTCATCCTGTGCTCCTCTCAAGCTGATTTAAATTTTCATTTCATGTGTGATTTTTTTTTTTCTCACAAATTTTAGTGTCATATCAACCTATGGGTTTTTTTCTCTTGTCACTTTGTAGCTACCTCACATTGTCATCAGGTAGAAGTTAAGTTTCCTTCCTTTTGACCATTTGTTGAGCCCAGTGATATTTTCTAAACCTCCTTTGCTAGTGTTGCATTCAACAGAAATTTGGTTCTTGGTTTTATTCTGTATTTCTCTTTCATGTAAAGGAGGAGTATGCAGTGTTCTTTTCCAAGTTAGTGAGATCTTTCTCTTGGAATATTATGGGCCTGAATAGAAAAAGGGAGAGACATTGCCAGCTTGAGGTAGTGTGAGAAAAGCAACTAGAGTTTTATTAAAATAATAAGGATGTTCTGTGGCTCTCCTGTGTAAGAGAAGAGATACGGCTTTGTAAGCATCTGTTTCCCTTGCAGCCAAGTTGAAAAAGGTGAAGAAAAAAAGACGAAGAGATGAAGAGCTTTCCTCTGAAGAATCCCCTCGTCGTCACCACCACCAGACCAAAGTTTTTGCTAAGTTTTCTCATGATGCACCACCCCCTGGCACCAAGAAGAAGCACTTATCCATTGAGCAGCTCAATGCTCGTCGCAGGAAAGTATGGCTCAGCATTGTGAAAAAGGAGCTACCAAAGGTAAGTACTGTAGGTGCCTCCAGCCAGCAGCATGGGAGAATGCCTTCTTTCCCCACTCTGAGAAAAAGCTGTGTCAGCTGCATCCTTCACAGAAAGGATGCTGATCTGTTGAATGAGACAGTTCTGAGTAGTGTTGCCTTCAGTTAACTTTTTTCTAAAATTTGGTCAGAATTCACAAGGTTGTTGTTACATTTTAAAGAAAAAAAATATGTAAAAATCAGAGGTGGAATTGAAAACCCCCATAGGCTGAGAGCTCATGGACAGAGGGCAATAAGCTGGATCTTGAGCTTGGTTGTTAGTGCTTGAGCTTGGGGTTTGATGAAAGATCAAACAAAGTAATGAATAACCTCACCTTCTAAATTCCTGTTTCACTCACAGAACACATAGGCTATCTTTTATTTTAATGATGATGATAATAATAATAATAATGATATAAGCCAGGTGTAGTGGTGGGTGCCTGTCATCCCACCTCTCTTGAGAGGCTGAGGCAGGAGGATTCCAAGTTTGAGCCTAGCCTGTACAATTTAGTGACTCAGCAAGATACTGTCTCAAAATGAAAATAAAAAGGGTTGAGATGTAGCTCCAGTGGGAAAACCTGGGATCCCTAATGCCCAGGTGGTGGTAGTTATATCATACAAATACAAAAAGCAAACATGATTGCATTTCTATTTAACATTTATGTAAGAAATCGGTTTCTTTCTTTTATTTTTTCTGGTACCGGAAATTGAACTCAAGACCTTGGCGCTCGCCAGGGAGACACAGCACCACTGAACTATGTCCCCAGCCCTCGGTTTCTAACTATGACTCAGCATTGTTTTGCTTTTGTTTTAAAGTGCTGGAGAGCACTAAGCATGGTAGCACATGCCTGTAGTCTCAGTACTTGGGAAACTGAAGGAGGAGGATCACCTTGAGTTTAAGGCCAGCTTGGGCTACATAGTGAGTTCAAGGCCAGCCTGACTCAGAAAACTAGACAAAAGAAAACAACCTAAAACAAACAAATAAAATGTTGGATTGCAAACTCAGAGCCTTGTTAGTTCTAGGCTAGTGCTTTACCGCTGAGCTATATCCCCAGCCTTGTATATCTTAACCAAGTATTCAAAATAAGCATAACGTGCGAAGTCCTGACTTTGATCCTTGGTATTGAGAAAACAAAATTTCAATCAAAATAAGCATAGCTTAGTCCTGTAAATTGTGACATCGCTGGGCATGGTGACGCATGCCTGTAATCCCAGTGCTTGGGATGCTGAGGCAAGAGGATCTGTGTGAGTTTGAGGCCAACCTGAGCTACATAGTTCACCGCCAGCCTGACCTACATAGTGAGACCCTGTTTCAAAAACCAAGCAAACAAAAAATTGTAACATCACAATCTCCTTGATGTGATACCCTGAGAATAACACATTGTTTCTGTGATATTCTCGCCAAAATGTATAACTTCATTTTAATCATGAAAAAAATACCAGAAAAAACCCAAATTAGGAGATGTGACTGAATCATATTTTTCAAGATTTTCAACCGCATAAAGGAGAAAGTTTCAGGAAATACTAACTTGAAGAGATTACAGAGAAAAGCAGCAAGTTGTAATGTAGGATCTTGCAAATGATCCTGGAATAATGAAAGGATACTAGTGACATAAGTATCACTAGTGATACTAGTGACATGCTTGCTGACATAAGACCTGTAGCTTAGTTAATAATACTGTACCAGGGTCTGTGGGATGTAGTCAGTGGCAGTGCTTAGCATTTACAAGGTCCTGGGTTCAGTCCCCACCACTGCAAGGGTGGATGGATGGATGAATAAATAATAATGTTGTACCAATGTTTCTTTCTCTTAATTGTTCTGTGATTATTCATAAGTTGCTAAAATTAGGGGAAATGAACTCTACTTTTTTTTTTTACTTTTTCTGTAAGTCTAAATTTAGTTCACATTTTTAAAATTTTGAAAAATACATGACAGGAATAATTTAAAGATGTGCCACACATGCTTTGTCCTTACTTAGCAGTTGTTTACTTCATTAACTTTAATTATATAAATGTATACTTTTTTTCTCAGCCAGTAGGGTTAATTTGAGACTTTATGCCAAACTTATTTCTAAATACTTTAATGTATTTTCTAAGAAAAATGACTTTCTCTTATATACACTTACAGTGAAGTTGTAAATATTAGGAACTTTAACAGTGATACAATACTATTTTCTGCTCCTTAGTCCACATTAAAATTTTGTTGGTGGTCCCAATAATTCCTTTTTATTTTTCATTTGTATTTATCTCCTTGCTTATTTATTGGTAGTACTGGGGACTGAACTTGCCTCACCTATGCTAGGTAAACACTCTACCACTGAGATACATTCCCAGTCCTTTTTAAAATTTTTATTTCGTGATAGTTTTCCTGAGTTGGCCAGGCTGGCCCCAAACTTGTGATCCTCCTGCCTCAGCCCAAAGTAGCCATAATTACAGGTAAGGGGTATCATCCCCAGCTTTGAACGGTTTCTATATAATTCTTCTTCCTGTCCCACCCCAGTTCAATCCAGAATGTAAACTAGGACTATTTGTTGAATTTAGTTGTTTAATCTGAAATAATTCCTCAGCCTCTGTCTTCTGTGACATTGTTATTCCTGAAGGGTATAGGGCTATTATTTTGTAGACTATGTCTGAAGTTGGGTTTTTTTTATGTTTCTGCAGGATTTTATTTGATTTTTTTGCATTTTGACAGTTTGACAGGATTATCACAAGATTGATAAAACTTCTTGGTATATTATATCAGATGACACACAATATATCTGCCCCAATATTGATAATACTAGCTTTGATCTCCTAGTATGGTAGTAAAAAATTACTGTTTTTTCCTAGTATGGCTACTAAAACATTACTGTTTTTTCCCATAGCAATCAGTATTTCTAGAAGAATAATTTATGTATGAGCACTCTTGTTGGGAAAGTTACAGGAAAACCTGCTTTCATACCTGATGAAGAAATTTTAAGCCAGGTATGGTGGTGCACGCCTGTAATCTCAGCACTCTGAAGGCTGAGGCAGGAGGATTGCTGTGAGTTCAAAGCCAGCTTGAGTTATACAGTGGGTTCAAGGCCAGCTTGAACTACATAGCGAAACCCTGCCTCAAAAAACAAAAAGCAGGCTGGGGATTTAGCTCAGTGGCACTGCACCTACCTTGCGGGAGCAAGATCCTGAGTTCAGTCCCCAGTACAGGGGGAAAAAAAGCAACAAAAAAAGAAATTTTAGATGATGCTCATCTTATGATAAAGAATGACTTTTCAGTGGGAGTATTTGAGATTATTGGCCTGGAAAGTGATAGATAATAGCTACTTATGAATTAGTAAGAAGAAATTTTTTGTAAAAATTAAAAATTCTCTTTTTCCTGAGGAAGTCTGAGGTAGGAACATTATAGAAATGGCTTTCAAGTTCTCTGTGTAACTGTATTTCGTTTTTGCCGGGTTGGGCATTGAAACCAGGACCTTGCACCTGCTAGGGAAGCTCTGCCTTTGAGCAAATCTCTAGTGCTCTGTGTAACTTTGAACCAGTTGTTTCTTCAGCACCAAGGAGAGAGCTAAGTAGAGTTGGATTCAGCTTTGCCCTTCTGTCTGCCTGTGAACTCAGGTTTCTTTATTAAGAGTATTCTTGTTTGTTTGGTTTAAGATGGAGTGGAAGACTTAGAAGAGCTTGCGACTAGGTTCTCAGTTGCTGAGTTATCTTGTGTTGGTTCTGCCTTGGGATTTTTTTATTGGAAAAGATGAGGCTTAAATGGTTGTAAAATTTCAGTAATAGTAGGAGGAGATTTGCTCAAGTTTGATGTGGGGGTAGAATCCCAAACTGGGAAGCTAGTTTACTTTCCTCACCTTATAATGGTTCTTTTTTTTTTTTTTCCTTGCAGTACTGGGGACTGAACTCAGGACCTTGTGCTTACGAGGCAGGCATGTTGCCACTGAGCTAAATCCCTTGCCCTTTATAATGGTTTTTGTACCTGGTGGGCCTGGTGTCTCAGCTTTGTAGATTGGTCTTTTAAAGCAATAAGTGTGTGTGGGGGGGTGGTTGGCGTGTGCAGTATGGGATTGAATGCAAACCTTCATGCACTGTTACATCCCTGTTTTTTTCATTTTTTATTATTTGTTTATTTATTTATTTATTTATTTTTGGTACTGGATCAAACTCAGGACCTTGTGCTTGAAAGGCAGGTGGTCGAACCACTGAACTAAATCCCCAGCCCCCTCATTTTTTATTTTGAGATAGGGACATGCTCGCTTTGACAACACATATGTTTTGAGATAGGGATCGCTAAGTTGCTAAGTTGTCTGGGCTGGATTCCAACTTGTGAGCCTCCTGCCTCAGCCTCCCAGAGTGCTGGGATTACAAGTGTGTGCCACCATGCTTGAAAACAATGTGTTTTCATCAGAGTAGTGTTAAGGTTTGGATACGTTATGTTCTCTTATCCACTTCAAGCCTTATGCATAACTTAGATTCTTTCCAAAACTATACAGAAAATGTGGGACATAACTCCAATTTTGTCATTAAGGCACATAAATGTGCTTGTATAATACATTTATTCTTTGGAATATTTCTATTGATGAATTTTTTTTTTATTTGGTACTGGGGATCAAACTCGGGACCTTGAGCTTTCAAGGCAGGTGGCCAAACCACTGAGCTAAATCCCCAGCCCGATGAATTTTTAATTTTATGAGTTTTATTATATTAAACAATGAGTACTTAATAGGAAAAATACCCCCAAAAAAGTATTACACTTTTAATATTTATTGTTTATTAAAAAGCATCAAAATTTTCAGCATCAGCTGTTTTTTGGTGTACAAAGTCTAAAAAGTAACAACAGAAATAAATTCCTATATGAACTGCAATGAAAATATCAGTAGCACTCTACAAAGAAAACAGTCTTTATTTCAATGATCACACCTAGGCAGTCTTCAGTGACAACAGCACGTTTCATATACATGTATTGCTTATACTGACAGCACATGTATTTTACTTTCCTGGCCTTTTTGTAGGACATACTTGACATCTCACTGGTCTTGTTGTCTTGTCAGGAGGTTCTTATTATATTATATAATGTGTAGTTAACAGGAACATAAAATATCAATAAAATAAAGTTTTTCGGGGGGGGGAGACTGGGGATCGAACTCAGAACCTTGCGTTTGCGAGGCAGGCAGTGGAACCACTGAGCTAAATCCCCGGCACAAATATTAAATTCTTAATATGTATTGTGTGTTTAGAAAAAACATCAACATTTTCACAT